AGTAGTTCCAAAGTTATTAATCAAAACGTCTTTTTTCTGAAGTCAAGAAATTTAGGTTCCGCCTAACTTTTTCCGCAATTCTGTTCTTTTCGACCTAAAAATTATTGATCCGAGCTCAAAAGGCCTATAATCTTCTTTTTCAATGCAAAAAACCCGATCTAAAACGCTTTAGTTGAAAAAATTTGCGAAAAAATCTGCTACCTGGACCCCTCCGGATTGATGAATCTACTGAATCAAACACGTTAAGTTCGATTTCTCTGTAACCCGGAAGGCTTTCTGGAAGCGATTTTTTTAGAACCTGTAGATTCACTAGTGCACGTTTTCCGACCAACTATTTTTACTGTCCTAACTCAAAAATTTCAAAAATTTTTCTGAATTTATAGTGTTCCGTTTTCTCAAAAATCACGAAAATTCGGTTTTTGGTACCAAAATAGTTCCAACCACCTCCGAACTAAACTTAACCGGTTCTAGCTACTATAGTAGTGCAATTACGATGTAACGCACTAATTTAGCGCTTTTATCCGTTTCAAAAAATATCGATATGTTAAAAATCGCGACTTGTGGGGGATCAAAATATCCCTATTTTGACCCTAAAAACCGGTCTGTTTTCTTTGTTTTTTCACTGAAAAACGATATAGGAGTATTAACATGGGCTATATAAGTAATAATATTAGTATAATATACCCCTCGGGTTTTTTCAATATCCGAATTAAGGTGCCTAACTCAGGTATTCGCAGTTCGGTGAAGGGTCACTACAGTGCAGCACTGTCGAGCTTCCCACAGATTACTATCTTAACTTTTGTACCAAAAGGGATATAAAACTTGTTAACGATACCCAACAGTCGATTATTATTGTCGTCGAGCCCCTTCTTGTTGCTCCTTGTACTGCTTGCCGGATCAGTCTTCTCCCAAGACCCTTCGGGATTGAGCGCAAATCAGCAGACCCTTCCGGATTGAGCGCAAATTAGCATTAACGTGCTTAAATACTCAAATAACCCTACAGTACAAGCCTCACAAACGGGCTACAAAATTGATCGTAACGATCCTGATCGATATAAATGTCTGTAACAACAATATATCTATCAACAACAAACGGGAGGGTCGGATCACATCTTGTCTGGGGGGATGATTTCTACTAATTTTTTTTACTTTTTTTTGTTTTTGATTTTTTCGGTTATTTTTGTTTTTCTTGGGTACTATACTACTTTTTGTTTAGTTTAAAATATATCTTTAAGTGTTTTTGGTCACAAACCTCTCAGGGAACGAGGGGACGGCCAATACTGCCACCCTTCCTGGAACGTGAATTTGCGGTCTTAACTAGGTTAAAAAGCTATTCACGGTAATCCGGAAGGCTTTTGGGTTCCGAACTACCCTTCCGCCCCGGAGGTTAGGGCCTATTAAGGGCGTTATTATGAGCATCCGCTCGGCGCGGAGTGCTCGTTAACGGTTCTACCGGTCATGATGTTAAAAAAGAATAAACACACGAGCGCCATAAAAACATCTATGAAACATTCGCCCGGAAGTACACATCGACGGAAAACAAAGCCAAGCTATAAAATGACTGGCCAGCGTCTAAACTAAGCTCTTCCTGCTTTTTACCGTCTCTACCAAAGCCAGTTCTTTTGGTGGTTTTTCAAACATCGGGTCGACAAAAACATTACTGCTTTCGGCTTCGGTCAAAACACTCAAAATAATTAACTACACAAAAAATAAGTGTGCTCATGGCTGGGTCTCAGTATCCCCAGACCACGAGGTCACTCCTAAAAACAGGGCTACTATTTTCTATTATATTTTTATTGTTTTTATTCAGTAGATAAAAGTCATCATCCTCATCGAAGATGGATCAACCCTTTCCCCCAACTCCTAGCTTCTCATCGTCGAAAAATGAATTGAGATGTTAAATAAATTCAATTCAAGATATAACCGGGAAGCTAAAAGTTTATATAAAACAGTTTGAATTCAAATCCCGAGACCCCTCCGGATTCCTGAATCCGGGGAAGTAACAACCTTATCTTCTTTCCGGAAGGCTGTTTTTCTACCTTTCACCGTTGTTGTGAACGGCCTTGCAAGGATTGCAGCGACACAATCGTTGCAACTCGGAACGGTCTCTGCTAACTCTGCTATTCGTTGTTGTTTTTCTATCGCAATTATCGTAGTTATCACTATCGCAACTATTGTTGTTCTGATTTTCTTCTGGTTTTCTTCCAAAATGGCGGTTTTTGCCGTTTCTCAGAAGTGCGACTTCTCAGTTCGAATTTTTAAAATTTCAAAATACCAGAATATCATGACCTTCACAGTTTGACTAATCGTCCCAATAACGTCACTAATCTCTCAAAACTGTCAATTCGGAAGGTTAGCTGCTAACTACTCGAAATCGCCGAATCTGCATTTTCGTCCATTCTGGTCGAATGTCACAAACGCCTCTAACGTCGTTTTCGTGCTGCGACGGAAAGTTCCGCTGTGCCAATCCGAGGGAATGGCACATTAGTACAGCTGATCCACTAAAACGGTCAATCTTCCCAGTCCGATGTTATATTAAAAGTTCGATGCATTTTGGCGCCATTCTCGTCGAATGTCACAAAAATTAAAGGCCTGAAAACTGAATCTAAACAAAATGCGATTTTTTTTCAGTTACTTAATGTGAACCTTGGTTACCTAGCATGACCCAGTACACCAGAGTAAGGACCGTTAATCCTGTATGGATTCAAAGATGATGTATTTTCTAATTTTAAACTTTAATGAACTTTTAGTTACCCTCAGAAGAACCCGAGGTTCCGGCCTACGATGCTGATGATAGAACCGCCGGGTCGTCGAGAATAAACACTGATAATGCAAACAATGACGATAAAACTGAAAATGATAACCAGTTCGTTGCCCTACCTCCTCCATATGGAGACAACTCAGATCTGCCCACATATGAGGAAGTAGAACGAATCAAACGCGACGAGGAGGATAGGGTAAATAAATCAATTAGATAACATTTTCATCTATAGTTTTATTATTTCTTAGCTTGTAAAATGTGACATCGTCATTTCACTTGATTTCGATTTTTTTTTCTGGCGCATGAATGATGCATTTAACGGTTTACCAAATTTTTACGTGTATGTTACCAAATTTTTATGGATCTAATAATGTTACAGGACAGCGAGAATCCCTACTCGGCCCTGTTAAATGGATCTATGACAGCAAATCTGTTCAGCTCCGAGATGGAAGTCGGATCAGACTCAATATTCCTCCTCACATTTCTGAGTTAGTTATGATCGTTCTCATTCACAACTGGCGAATAAGATTAATTTTTTTTTGTTCAATATTAAGCTATTTGAAGTAAATTCTGAATGATTTCATAGTTTGAATGTCAGTATTTCCAATAAAAAATGTAATTAATTATAGCTTCAACATAGGTAGAGGTGTAAAAATAGGGAGTGCAGTCTGTATTGAGACAACCACATTTTCATACTCGTCAGTAAGCAAATAAATGCTAATTTAACCAATGAGAATCGAGATTAGCAAGCATTTTTTTGAAATAAATAATTATTGTTCATTAATTTTTTCGGTTATTTTTGTTTTTCTTGGGTACTATACTACTTTTTGTTTAGTTTAAAATATATCTTTAAGTGTTTTTGGTCACAAACCTCTCAGGGAACGAGGGGACGGCCAATCCTGCCACCCTTCCTGGAACGTGAATTTGCGGTCTTAACTAGGTTAAAAAGCTATTCACGGTAATCCGGAAGGCTTTTGGGTTCCGAACTACCCTTCCGCCCCGGAGGTTAGGGCCTATTAAGGGCGTTATTATGAGCATCCGCTCGGCGCGGAGTGCTCGTTAACGGTTCTACCGGTCATGATGTTAAAAAAGAATAAACACACGAGCGCCATAAAAACATCTATGAAACATTCGCCCGGAAGTACACATCGACGGAAAACAAAGCCAAGCTATAAAATGACTGGCCAGCGTCTAAACTAAGCTCTTCCTGCTTTTTACCGTCTCTACCAAAGCCAGTTCTTTTGGTGGTTTTTCAAACATAGGGTCGACAAAAACATTACTGCTTTCGGCTTCGGTCAAAACACTCAAAATAATTAACTACACAAAAAATAAGTGTGCTCATGGCTGGGTCTCAGTATCCCCAGACCACGAGGTCACTCCTAAAAACAGGGCTACTATTTTCTATTATATTTTTATTGTTTTTATTCAGTAGATAAAAGTCATCATCCTCATCGAAGATGGATCAACCCTTTCCCCCAACTCCTAGCTTCTCATCGTCGAAAAATGAATTGAGATGTTAAATAAATTCAATTCAAGATATAACCGGGAAGCTAAAAGTTTATATAAAACAGTTTGAGTTCAAATCCCGAGACCCCTCCGGATTCCTGAATCCGGGGAAGTAACAACCTTATCTTCTTTCCGGAAGGCTGTTTTTCTACCTTTCACCGTTGTTGTGAACGGCCTTGCAAGGATTGCAGCGACACAATCGTTGCAACTCGGAACGGTCTCTGCTAACTCTGCTATTCGTTGTTGTTTTTCTATCGCAATTCTCGTAGTTATCACTATCGCAACTATTGTTGTTCTGATTTTCTTCTGGTTTTCTTCCAAAATGGCGGTTTTTGCCGTTTCTCAGAAGTGCGACTTCTCAGTTCGAATTTTTAAAATTTCAAAATACCAGAATATCATGACCTTCAAAGTTTGACTAATCGTCCCAATAACGTCACTAATCTCTCAAAACTGTCAATTCGGAAGGTTAGCTGCTAACTACTCGAAATCGCCGAATCTGCATTTTCGTCCATTCTGGTCGAATGTCACAAACGCCTCTAACGTCGTTTTCGTGCTGCGACGGAAAGTTCCGCTGTGCCAATCCGAGGGAATGGCACATTAGTACAGCTGATCCACTAAAACGGTCAATCTTCCCAGTCCGATGTTATATTAAAAGTTCGATGCATTTTGGCGCCATTCTCGTCGAATGTCACAAAAATTAAAGGCCTGAAAACTGAATCTAAACAAAATGCGATTTTTTTTCAGTTACTTAATGTGAACCTTGGTTACCTAGTATGACCCAGTACACCAGAGTAAGGACCGTTAATCCTGTATGGATTCAAAGATGATGTATTTTCTAATTTTAAACTTTAATGAACTTTTAGTTACCCTCAGAAGAACCCGAGGTTCCGGCCTACGATGCTGATGATAGAACCGCCGGGTCGTCGAGAATAAACACTGATAATGCAAACAATGACGATAAAACTGAAAATGAAAACCAGTTCGTTGCCCTACCTCCTCCATATGGAGACAACTCAGATCTGCCCACATATGAGGAAGTAGAACGAATCAAACGCGACGAGGAGGATAGGGTAAATAAATCAATTAGATAACATTTTCATCTATAGTTTTATTATTTCTTAGCTTGTAAAATGTGACATCGTCATTTCACTTGATTTCGATTTTTTTTCTGGCGCATGAATGATGCATTTAACGGTTTACCAAATTTTTACGTGTATGTTACCAAATTTTTATGGATCTAATAATGTTACAGGACAGCGAGAATCCCTACTCGGCCCTGTTAAATGGATCTATGACAGCAAATCTGTTCAGCTCCGAGATGGAAGTCGGATCAGACTCAATATTCCTCCTCACATTTCTGAGTTAGTTATGATCGTTCTCATTCACAACTGGCGAATAAGATTAATTTTTTTTGTTCAATATTAAGCTATTTGAAGTAAATTCTGAATGATACTTTCATAGTTTGAATGTCAGTATTTCCAATAAAAAATGTAATTAATTATAGCTTCAACATAGGTAGAGGTGTAAAAATAGGGAGTGCAGTCTGTATTGAGACAACCACATTTTCATACTCGTCAGTAAGCAAATAAATGCTAATTTAACCAATGAGAATCGAGATTAGCAAGCATTTTTTTGAAATAAATAATTATTGTTTATTAATTTTTTCGGTTATTTTTGTTTTTCTTGGGTACTATACTACTTTTTGTTTAGTTTAAAATATATCTTTAAGTGTTTTTGGTCACAAACCTCTCAGGGAACGAGGGGACGGCCAATCCTGCCACCCTTCCTGGAACGTGAATTTGCGGTCTTAACTAGGTTAAAAAGCTATTCACGGTAATCCGGAAGGCTTTTGGGTTCCGAACTACCCTTCCGCCCCGGAGGTTAGGGCCTATTAAGGGCGTTATTATGAGCATCCGCTCGGCGCGGAGTGCTCGTTAACGGTTCTACCGGTCATGATGTTAAAAAAGAATAAACACACGAGCGCCATAAAAACATCTATGAAACATTCGCCCGGAAGTACACATCGACGGAAAACAAAGCCAAGCTATAAAATGACTGGCCAGCGTCTAAACTAAGCTCTTCCTGCTTTTTACCGTCTCTACCAAAGCCAGTTCTTTTGGTGGTTTTTCAAACATAGGGTCGACAAAAACATTACTGCTTTCGGCTTCGGTCAAAACACTCAAAATAATTAACTACACAAAAAATAAGTGTGCTCATGGCTGGGTCTCAGTATCCCCAGACCACGAGGTCACTCCTAAAAACAGGGCTACTATTTTCTATTATATTTTTATTGTTTCTACTCAGTAGATAAAAGTCACCATCCTCATCGAAGATGGATCAACCCTTTCCCCCAACTCCTAGCTTCTCATCGTCGAAAAATGAATTGAGATGTTAAATAAATTCAATTCAAGATATAACCGGGAAGCTAAAAGTTTGTATAAAACAGTTTGAGTTCAAATCCCGAGACCCCTCCGGATTCCTGAATCCGGGGAAGTAACAACCTTATCTTCTTTCCGGAAGGCTGTTTTTCTACCTTTCACCGTTGTTGTGAACGGCCTTGCAAGGATTGCAGCGACACAATCGTTGCAACTCGGAACGGTCTCTGCTAACTCTGCTATTCGTTGTTGTTTTTCTATCGCAATTATCGTAGTTATCACTATCGCAACTATTGTTGTTCTGATTTTCTTCTGGTTTTCTTCCAAAATGGCGGTTTTTGCCGTTTCTCAGAAGTGCGACTTCTCAGTTCGAATTTTTAGAATTTCAAAATACCAGAATATCATGACCTTCACAGTTTGACTAATCGTCCCAATAACGTCACTAATCTCTCAAAACTGTCAATTCGGAAGGTTAGCTGCTAACTACTCGAAATCGCCGAATCTGCATTTTCGTCCATTCTGGTCGAATGTCACAAACGCCTCTAACGTCGTTTTCGTGCTGCGACGGAAAGTTCCGCTGTGCCAATCCGAGGGAATGGCACATTAGTACAGCTGATCCACTAAAACGGTCAATCTTCCCAGTCCGATGTTATATTAAAAATTCGATGCATTTTGGCGCCATTCTCGTCGAATGTCACAAAAATTAAAGGCCTGAAAACTGAATCTAAACAAAATGCGATTTTTTTTCAGTTACTTAATGTGAACCTTGGTTACCTAGCATGACCCAGTACACCAGAGTAAGGACCGTTAATCCTGTATGGATTCAAAGATGATGTATTTTCTAATTTTAAACTTTAATGAACTTTTAGTTACCCTCAGAAGAACCCGAGGTTCCGGCCTACGATGCTGATGATAGAACCGCCGGGTCGTCGAGAATAAACACTGATAATGCAAACAATGACGATAAAACTGATAATGAAAACCAGTTCGTTGCCCTACCTCCTCCATATGGAGACAACTCAGATCTGCCCACATATGAGGAAGTAGAACGAATCAAACGCGACGAGGAGGATAGGGTAAATAAATCAATTAGATAACATTTTCATCTATAGTTTTATTATTTCTTAGCTTGTAAAATGTGACATCGTCATTTCACTTGATTTCGATTTTTTTTCTGGCGCATGAATGATGCATTTAACGGTTTACCAAATTTTTACGTGTATGTTACCAAATTTTTATGGATCTAATAATGTTACAGGACAGCGAGAATCCCTACTCGGCCCTGTTAAATGGATCTATGACAGCAAATCTGTTCAGCTCCGAGATGGAAGTCGGATCAGACTCAATATTCCTCCTCACATTTCTGAGTTAGTTATGATCGTTCTCATTCACAACTGGCGAATAAGATTAATTTTTTTTGTTCAATATTAAGCTATTTGAAGTAAATTCTGAATGATACTTTCATAGTTTGAATGTCAGTATTTCCAATAAAAAATGTAATTAATTATAGCTTCAACATAGGTAGAGGTGTAAAAATAGGGAGTGCAGTCTGTATTGAGACAACCACATTTTCATACTCGTCAGTAAGCAAATAAATGCTAATTTAACCAATGAGAATCGAGATTAGCAAGCATTTTTTTGAAATAAATAATTATTGTTTATTAATTTTTCCTTGTCTCGATTCTGATTGGTTGATATAGCATTTGTCTGCTTACTGACATGTATGAATGCGCGGTTGTCTAAATACGGCTACGTAACCAAAATAGTGAGCCTCCACTTCGTGTTTTAGTCGCTCTGATGTTCAGCTGGGTGGGTTTCATGTTGACCTTCTGCGTGTCCAACAGCATGGCAGGCAGATACGGGGCGATCAGTGGCTTCGGCCTCTCCCTCATCAAGTGGACTGTCCTCATATCCCACTCCCAGTACAACAATCCAGCTGCAACTGCAACAGCAGCCGGCACTCCAGAAGACGTGCCCAACTACTGGTTCAATGCATGGGTGTGTCACTGAAGCTCGCTTTTCAAATCCTGTCTTAGCTCAAATAACGCCCTCATTCTCCAAAACCATAAATAAATGTTACTCGAAAAGTCGATTTCCACTTTCAAGTGTCGTGTAAACGGGAACAAGATTTTTCCGTTTACAACTGTTCTTACAAGTCTGTAAGAAATTGCACTTCCTTTATTTTTTGAACCATAACAATTTCCAGGCTCGTTCCATTTTGGCCTTGAGGTAACCCGGTTGTATTTTGCACCCAGAGGTTCGAGTCCGGGTCGGATCTTGTTTTTTCAATATGTATGTAATTGAATTTTTTCAGTGGAAAATGGAATGGCATGGCTTTTGTTCGTTTGCTGATTTTTTTTGTCGGCTTCATTTCCAAAGCAACGAAAATTTTTTCGGATTTCAAAGTTTCCTACTATAATTAGCAGTCGCCTGGTTATTTCATTACTTTACAAATTCATGTCTTTAAATTTTTTTGTATACTATTTTTTTACGCTTGTCTATTTTTGTCTATTTTTCTTACGTTTGCGATAAGCAAGCGTTATCAAACTGGAATCTAGACTTTTTTCTAGCTTACAAGTAGTTTGACAAAAATAAGCTGAATTACTTGCTGACTTCTTTTCAATTCTTGTCTTCTCTTAACATCTCGCAGGTTGCTTCTCCCTTGGTGTGTAGGTAAAACAGTTACCCTTGAACCCTAGGGTCTGGGGTTCGAGTCGTGGCGAGATCTTGTTTTTTCAGGATCAAGGAGTTTTTTTTTCAGTTCAGTTGGTGTCTGCGTAAAGATTGTCGGCTTAGTTGCCACATTACTGATTTTTTTTCTTGCAAGCAACGTTCATTGTAGCTACAAGTGCAAGTGCTGTTCATTCTAGTTTCAAGTGGGACTTGAAAGGTTAAAAAAATTTAAAAATCGTTTCTTTTTTCGGTTCAAGTGGTTTCAGCTCAAAGATTGCTAGCTTAGTTGCCTTATCACTGATTTTTTTGTGCTGTAAACAAATTTCTTTCTACTTGCAAGTGCAAGTTTTGTCCATTGTTTTTAAGGTGGGACTTAAATTTTTTATATAAATTTTTTGTCTGCTCAAAGATTGTCGGCGTCGGCTCTGTTTCTTTTCGTAAATTTTGTTCCGTTGTTGCTGATTTGAAACTCAAGTGTCTGGCATGTTTGCTTGGAATGAACTTGTTTCGAGACATATGAGAGTTTATATGACCTAGTTTTATTTCGTTTTTTAATGTTTTTTTCGTTTTTTAAAGTTTTTTTTCTGTTTGTGTTGTAGCGCAAGTGGTGTGAAGCTCCGCTTCGCCTCTGTGTAATAAAAAGGTTTCGGTTGATGTTCTAAGAGCTTAGTAAAATTATTTTGTGTCGTTCGAAAGGCGAAACTGAATCCAGTCCTTATTAAAATATTTCTGCCACTCTCTTCCTATGTTCAAGTTGTACCGTGTGTCTCATGTTCAAGATTTCCGACACAAACGAAGTTTTGCTCGTCTAAGCCTTATTACCTTTGCGATAAGCAAGGGTATTGTAATCGTGTACTAGACGTTTTTTTACCGTAAATAGTCTTAGGATTATAATGGTCACCTGTGTAGGAATGGTAAATTTCAAACATGAGTACTTTCCTTAAAGTTAAAATAAAATTACCTTCATTTAGGTAGTAGTAAATAGGTGTCGGCCGTTTCCGGTGTTTGTTTCTTTCGAATAATTTTCTGGAAAAAAATGTTTCAAGATTTGTTTCGAATTCGTGGTTTCCGTCCTTGTTTCCGTCAGTTCGTTTCCCGTTTTTTGAAATTTCCCGGTTTTTGAAATGAAATTTTTTTGAGACTGTTTCGTTTCGACTCTTTTGTTAAGCACGGTTTTGTTTCATTTTGAAATTGATGTTGAAAGTTTGTAACTTGTCATTTTACCTTGTCTGATTTTAAATAATTTTTATGTATATTTCGATTAAACCGTTTCGGTTTGTTTTATGGCATAATGAACTTATATTGCGTTGTTTCGAGGGCAAAATTTTCTGTTCGACAAAATTAGGTATTATTACACTTGCGATAACAAGTGTCTTGAAATCGAGAAGACTTTTTCCAATAAACAACTTACGCGTTTTTATTTTTCTTCAGCTCGTTTTTTGATGAACATTCACAGCACAACCTCCAGGTTCCTTCCCACCTGGCCTAGAGTTAACGCCGTCGTCTTCGTACCCTAGGGGATGAAGTTCGGCCTAATTTTCATATCACTCATCTGGTTTTTCCTGTAAGCAACTTTCCTTGCAAGTGCAAGTAGTGTTCTTTGTAGGTTCAGGAAGGTGGACCTGAAACTTTTAAGTTTTTTTAAATTTTTTTTGGCTTAACAGGTGTCTGCTCAAAGATCGTTGGCTTTGTTGCCACATCACTGTTTTTTCTTTTCTTGTGCTGTAGGCAACGTTGCTTGTATTTGAAATTGTTAGTGTTGTTCATTCTAGTCTCAGGCCAGACTTAAAATGAAAGATTTTTTAAAATTGTATTTGTGTCTGCTCAAAAATCGTCGGCTTCGTTTCTTCTTTGTAAGTTTTGTTCCCATGCTAATTTAATACTCAACTTTTTGCCATTTTAGCCTAGAATGGGTTTCTATCGAGGCATACGAAAATTTAAATTCAGTCAGAATTAGTGTTTTTCAACGTTTTCCATTTTTTCGACTTATGTTTCTTATGTTTGTGTTTAATCGCAAGTGGTGTAAAGCTCAGCTTCACCTCTCTGTCATATATTGTAATGCCTAAGAGATTATTTGAAGCAAGGCATGGTGAAGAGAGTTAAAGCTGGGTGGGGCAGCGGAGGGCGAGGAGGGTCAAGGCTAAGGAGGAGGGGCAAGGCTAAGTAGGGCAGGGCGAGGAGATGCAAGGCACGATAGGGCAGCGCAGGGCGAGGAGCAAAGCAGCGTAGGGCAGGGCGAAAAGGGACAAGTCATGATAGGGCGAGGAGGGACAAGGTAGGGTATGGCAGCCCAGAGCGAGGAGGAGCAAGGCATGGTACACAAGGCGAGAAGGGTAAGGCAGGGCGAAGAGGAACACGGGAGGATAGGGTAGTGCATGTCTGGGAAGGGGCGTGGCAATGCAAGATAAAACAGGTCACTCTAAGACAGGGCAGTGCAAAGCAGTGTGAGGAGGAAAAAGGCTGGGAAGTGAGCACGGCAGCACAATGCAAGGCAGCGAAATGCAGATCAGGGTAGCGCAAGGCAAGGAGGAGCAGGTTGGGCGGCGCAAGACAATGCAAAGATTGGAAATGCAAAACAAGGCAATACAGGGCATCGCAGGGAGAGGTAAGTCAAAACCAGACAGCGCAGCGCAAGGAGGTGCTAGATAAGACCGGGCTTGAAAGAGCAAGGCTTCTCAAAGCAAAGCCGGTTAGTGTAAGAATGGGATCCAATCAGTCATTCATTCATACATACAACAATTTCATCAAGCCGCCCATTCTTCCAACTATTATTTCATTCAAGCATTCATTCATCAAGCCATCCATATTTTCATCGATTCTTCCACTTTTCTATCCAACAAGCAATCTATGCATATCCAGTCAGTCATCCATCGAATCTTCTATCCATTCTTCCAACCATCTACCCAATTTTCGATCCGTTCAGCCAGCCATATATCCATCCATGAAGCTATGGCTATCCATCTATCCATTCGGTCATTAATCCATTCATTCACCCATCAAACTTTAAGCTGTCCAACCATCCATCCAGCTATCCATCGAGACATCCGTATGTCCAGCCAGACATTGATCTAGTCATCCATCATCTGTCTATCCAATCATCCATCCAGCTATCCATCGAGACATCCGTATGTCCAGCCAGCCATTGATCTAGTCATCCATCATCTGTCTGTTCATCCAATCAAGCCATTCATCGTCCATCAATCCAGCCAGCCTTTTATCCATCCATCCCTCCAGTCATTTCCTTACAGCCAGACTTGCGGACATCCATCATCCAGCCTACCAGCAAGCCCTCTATCTATCTAGCCACCCATCGTCAATCCATTTATCTATCCAGTCATCTTTATGTTCAGGTATCCAGCCATACATTCATCTAGCCATCTAATCAATCTCACAGACCATCTATTCATCAAACTTCATGCATTCATCCATCTATCCAACCATCTATCATGTCAGCCATCTACCCAGCTATTTATGAGTTCTTCCAACCATCCTTATAGCCATCCAACGAGCTAGACATCTATATATTCATGCATCCATCAATCTATTCATTCTTCATCAAAATTCCAACTAGCAATCAATGAAGTTGTCCATCCAAAGATCCATCCATCCATGAAGCCATATATCCACCCTGTTAACACTCATCCACCCATCCAGCATTCTACCCATCCATTCATCAATCCACTCATCTATTAAACCATTCATAAATTCAATCGTCTATCCATTCATCCATCAAAGCATCCATCCAGCCATCCGTTTTTCTAGCTAGCAACACAACCAGCCAACAATCTATGTATCAATCTAATTATCTAATCATTCATCGTCCATCCATGTAGCCATAAACCGTCCATCAATCCACTCAGTATTCTATTCAGCCGTCCATCCATCCCTACATCAAGCCAGCCAACATCCATCCATCCCTTCAGCAATCCATCTAGCCAAGTTTCCACCCGTCGTTCCTCCAATCAGTGATCCATCTTTCTGTTCAGCCATTCATCCATCTAACCAGCAAACCTTCCATGCATCCATTGAGTCAGCCATCCATCCATCAGTCATCAATCCAGCCATCTATCGATATTTTCCTTGTTGCGATCCAACCATTTTGCCATCTGATTTTTGCTGCTGCTGCCATCCGTCCGTCCAGCAAGCCATTGGGCCATTCATCAACGCGTCCATCAATCCAACCAGCCTTTCAGCCTACTATCCATCCATAAAGTCATGCATCCATCCATCGATGCAGCCATGTATCCATCGATTCATCCGTTTATCCATCCATCCAATAATCCATCGGTTCATTGGCGTTTACCCAAGTAATACCGGCTCAGTGGTTTCTCGACACTTGTTGCTGCGGTTGGGTTTCTCGACTGTTATTTACACTTATGAGTAGCGAAGTGTATTAGTACGAATTTTTTTTTGTTTCTAACCTAACTCACAAATAAAAGTGTTCATTAAAAGTGCTCACTTATTTGGTGGCACTTTGTGATAATCACGATCTGTAGCATAGGAAAATTCATGGCATTTGTTCTCTGCTTTATTCGTGGCTAGTATTGTGATTCACCAAGCGTCCATGGCTGAGTGGTTTGTGCGTGAGACTCATAATCTCAATGTCGCAGATCGAATCCGAGACGTAGCCGATTTTTTGTCAATTCGAGTCTTATTTCTACTTTTCTTGTTGCTCTTTTTGGAGCTCCTTTTTGTCGTGTTCTCGCTTAGCCTCTGTGTCTGAAATTGAGTTTGCGTTTCAGAAAACCTTTTTCATTTTTTTCGAAAATGAGTTTGTCTTATTTTCTATTCGCCAAATTTCACGACTACGTTTGCATTATATCCAATGTGTGCAAAGCTCCCTTTTGCCTCGGTATGTATTTTTTTCATGGAAAAAATCAATCATCAAAGTTTCTCAGCTGTATTTTATTATTTTTACCTGGGGACTTTTGAAACAGGTTGAAATTTAAACGGAAACTCAGTTTTGTTTTGTTGTTTTCCGACCACGGAATGGGAATGAACTTTGTATTCGGATGTTTTCATTCACGAAAAATCAGTTGCCAGAAAGATATTATCGTCATAAACAATCATTCCTTCCCCCATCTAAATTTAAGCGTTGAGCCAACATGCAAAATACTGCGCTCTGGTTGACTGAAAATGAAACAAGTTTGGTTTAGGGAGGTTTTTCACTTGATGTGATAGTTTAAGCTCAAAAAGTGTTTTTTTTTTGGTTGACAGGTGTCGTGGCTGCTGATATTGTCTGGCGGGATGATCTTCGTGAAGGGTATCTACATGTATGTGAAGGCTAAGCAAACAGCGTACGAGAACAGTACTCAAATGCGAAACCAGACAACTGAAGACGACAACAACAGTACGGAAGAAGAGCAACAGAGACACTCGAGGCAGTTCTCACTTTTCTACTTCTACTAGTCAAATAATGACAAATGCAGGGTAATTCATGATAGTTGGGTCCCTTGAAAACCAAATATGATTGTCGGGTTTTTGGAAGCTCTTATCGCTGCAGAAGGACTTTTCAATCGATAGCGTTTTAACTATCCAAAACTTTCACCAAATGTTCTATCAGACTTTAAGTAGAGAAAGTTGGTTACGGTCATGAGAGATTTTTTTTAATGATTTGTAACTTCATATTTTGTGAATCATGCAGAATTGAAGGGTCCAACTATCATTAATTTGCCCATTAGAGAGGGGAGTTGACTTTAATAAACGAGCCTGATCATCAGCAGAGTTCTTAAGAGAAGCGAAAAAGGAGAGAAACTTTAGGATGTGAGTTTCAATGATAGTACAAAAGAGGGAAAAAAGATACAAAGACATAATCATTCCTATTTTGAAAGAATATTATAAATTTCTTCTTCCTTTCAATTTTCAAGAAGAACATGATAAGCATTATTTGTTTTGTGCTTTTGCAATTGAATGGGCATCAAGCAAGATGAACTTTCTTGAATTACTTTTGAAAATGATTAATATTTAGATTTTAAAATATATGGTTTGCTGGTTTTCTAACCATATTTGTTCGAATTTCGAAGGCAGAAAACTATTGTATTGCTTGCTTGATGTTTGCTTGAATCAGCGAAGAAATCTTTAGCTCCATCATGAATTATTAGCTCCTTTAAAGTGTAAAATATCCTCATGTTTTATTAAATGAAGCTTCCTGAATGTAGTGAATAGATTTAGCACCATTTTCATTTCTGTTGGTTTTGTTCTGGTTCTTGCTTGGCTCGTGTTTTCACTTCAATTTTAAAAATCCCTCAGGGATAAATCTTGACTGCTCAAAAGTTCAAATCCTGCTCGAAAACTGAATCGTTGGTCTGCTTATATTCCCTCTAGGTATTTAATTTTGAAGTTAGTTAGAACGTTTTAATCATTGCAGATCTTATGTTTAAAAAAAACGATAAAAATTTTTCTCAAGAAAAAAGTTATTTTAAATTTGCCTCATTTTTAAAACCAAGAAAGCAGGCCAAATTTGTCGGGGTATAGTCCCACTGTGTTATCTGTTCGGTTGCTCTTTCTTTGTATAAACCAGTGTATAATAGTATAATATTTTACTTAAACAACCAATCGCGCTCAACTATGTTTATGTAACTAAACATCATACAGGGAAGGTAGTTTGGGAAAAAGTATGTCAGTTGAAATGAATGAATTTTGAATTTCAATCACCACTTATTAGATTCGGATCCAAATTTAATTTTGCTATCATTTTTTTTTTTTTGTATATCTGAAAAGAAAACAAGAATAGACAAGTAGCACCGAAAGCTCCGAGTTGCTGTGCAAGTAGCACCGGAAGCTCCGACCTTATTTTAAAAAAAAAACGATATGTTTCAAACTTAACGTTTTTGTTGCGTGACGTGATGAGAGGAAATAGACTCAAGCTTTAATTATTAGTAAATCAAGCATAATCGGACTAAATTTGTCTTTACACTTGCGAAGCGAGTTTATTAGTACAAACCTTCTTTTTTCAACCTAAGCGCAAATAAAAATGCCACTTCTGGTCGCACTTTGAACGGAAGAGGCTGCTGTAGCAGTATAATGTCTTATTTGCTTTAATATTTGATTAGCAAAAGTTTAACGGTTGATGCATTTATAATTCATGAAAATTTATCTGTTTCAAACAGCAGTACAATGATAAAAAGCTCGATTTCTTAAGTTTTTCAACTCGATGTATCTCTGTATATACTTTTTTGAAATAAGTAGTGTATAAATACTTTGGCTTTATGCTTTCCAATTTATTACTTGCAAAATTGTCTGTTTTTGTATTTGATGCTACTTTTGCTGCATTGAATTGGCAATTCATTAGCAAATGTAGCTGCGTTATTGGTGGCTATTTTTTTGGTGATTTTACGCATCCGTGGCTGAGTGATTAGTGCGTGAGACTCAAATTTGCTAGATCGCAGATTTGAACCCGGCACGTAGCTAATTCGAGGCTTATTTCTACTTTCTCTTTTTTTTCACTTGATAGAGGTACTTTTTGGTCGTGTTCTCGCAAGGGTTTGCGAAGCGCAGTTTCGCCTCTATGTGGAAGAGTGTAAACAAAATTTTGTTTTGTTTTTAAATTTTCATTGCCATTTTCAAGTTCCTGCTACAGCGACGATGATTTTCTGTTCTTAAGTTGGATCGTTTTTTTTGCGAATGTTGTGATTGGAAAAGCGAACTTAAAGCTTAAATCGTAAGTAAGTTAGTTACAATCGAGAACATTTATTAAAGTAAATGAATGTTAAATTAAAAACCTGCGAAAAAAAGTTTTCTGCTTTTTTGGGATGAAAAAAGCTTTGTTTCTTATAGTAAGATTAAGTTTTTCAGGGCTCCAATTATTTGTTTTCTATCATAATACCTACTCGCTCGAAATTAGACTATGAAGCAAATTTTTTAAACGGAGAATGAACTTCTTGGGAGTTTTCTAAAAAATTTGTTCGAATCACGACTGAAAGGGCTCTAAATTGATAAATGACTGAACTCATTCCGATGGTTCATTGTGGTGCCTGATATTGCGTGGAAAGAAAACAAAATAAAAAAAAAACGAAATTACTAAGATAAAGTTCCACCCACTTTAAGGGGTTTGAAAATAACAAGCCAAATTTGCTTGCGAGGAATCATTGGCGGGGTAAGGCCAATTTCGATATGACAATTTTGTGGTACGGATGTTTTGGGAGGTGATAGTGGCTTATATCAATTTATTTTCTCCCTCCTTCCGCCTCGAACTGGTAGTGGGGTGTGTATACTCCCTTTTTTGTTTAACCAATCAACCTTATTGTGTTTCGAATTTCAGTTGAAATATTTGTCTTCGCTGTGAGTTCATCATCTTTTGAACATATCATTTTAAAGCCCATGTATTATCCACTAAACTAATTCGAGTTGGCAATTGAGAACTTTTGCTCGTTTCGGAAAGAGCCGCAACACATTTCTTTCATAAAAAAGTCGAAATTTCCTTTCGTTCATGCTTTGATTTCATTTCCATTTTTTGAGCCAGTCAATTTTACGTAGCGTTGCTGTTTATTCACGCGAGACACTTTTACAGATCAAAATTATTGGTTATTCGATGTGATCTGAAATAATATTTTTCGGATGCAAAGCGATGGGGAAGTTTTGATTGTTTTAAAATAGAAACGAATGGTAAAGGGTAAATTGGAACACAGAGTAGGAGAGTACAGGTTAATGTAGCATATGGTAGATTGAAATAGATTAGATTGTCATTGAATTCTGTGCAAGATGCACAAAGTTCCTTTACAGCGACAATTATTTTCTTTCCTGAAGTTGGATTGTTTTTTTTTTGTGAATGGTTTGATTAGATAAGCTAAATGACCGCTTAAATCTTAAGTAACTAAGCTACCAGCGACTACAGTTTCTCCAAGAAATGAATGAAAAATTGAAAAAAATTCTAATGCCTAGCAAGCGCTTTGAAACTTCAAAAGTTTTGTTTCCTGAAGTTAGATTATTATTTTTTAATTTTTGAAGGGCTGAAATATATTTATTTTTAATTTTTTTTAGATCTAATTGCTTGAAATAAGACTATGAAGCAAAAATTTCAACTCGCTGATAAAGTTCAACCCACATTTAAGTTGTTGGAAAATGACAGGCAAAACTTGCTTGCGCAGGATTTACTGGCGTGGTGGGGCACATTTTTTATTTATATTTTCATCGAACTCTTCGACCAATTAATTTTCCGATGAAACACTGAAAAAGCCTATTTTGCCGAACATTTTCTGCACAGCTGACGAAGTTTTCGTTAAACGGAACAACTTTTATCATATAGCTCTTTGGTCACTTCTCGGAAGGTTTTTCATTGTTTTAAAATAGAAACGAATGGTAAAGGGTAAATTGGAACACAGAGTAGGATAGTGCAGGTTAATGTAGCATATGGTAGATTGAAATAGGTTAGATTGTCATTGAATTCTGTGCAAGATGCACAAAGTTCCTTTACAGCGACAATTTTTTTCTTTCCTGAAGTTGGATTGTTTTTTTTTTTGTGAATGGTTTGATTAGATAAGCTAAATGACAGCTTAAATCTTAAGTAACTAAGCTACCAGCTACTACAATTTCTCCAAGAAATGAATGACAAATTGAAAAACATTGTATTGTCCAGCAAGCGCTTAGTGAAACTTCAAAAGTTTTTTCCTGAAGTTGGATTAATTTTTGAAGGGCTGAAATTCACATTTTTAATCTTTTATAACATCTAATTGCTTATAACATCTAATTTTTTTTTAGATCTAATTGCTTGAATTAAGACTATGAAGCAAAAATTTCAACTCGCTAATAAAGTTCAACCCACATCTAAGTTGTTGGAAAATGACAGGCAAAACTTGCTTGCGCAGGATTTACTGGCGTGGTTGGGCACATTTTTGATTTATATTTTCATCGAACTCTTCGACCAATTAATTTTCCGATCAAACGCTGAAAAAGCCTCTTTTGCCGAACATTTTCTGCTCAGCTGACGAAGTTTCAAAAACGGAACAACACTTATCATATAGTTCTTTGGTCACTTCTCGGAAGGTTTTGACCCAAAAATCTTTAGCAAAGTAAGTTTTTATTGGCGTCGAAGTTACTGATTGCGTAATTGTTTTTTTATTACTTCAGAAAGCGAGTTTGGTTTTGCAGCCCACTAACGGCCTTTTTGCTTTCTTTCATACGGAGATTTAGGCATATTGATTCTCTTACTCTCTACTTAATTGCTCTGTCCTTGTGTAATTAATTGTGACGACTCTCCATCCGCAAAGGAAATCGACTTCTTCGTGGACCTCACCGAGTTACATGAATATAGACCCCCCACCATAGCATATCGACAATTGTCATCATCATCATTGTGTCTTCCTTATACATTTTTTCTCGATACTCGAGTGTTCCGAGGTTTTCTCCGAAAAACTTCTTGTCGCAAACTGGTTGAGAATTGGCCCCAACTCTAAAAGCGAGTTTGGACAACCCTAAACTTTTTTCTGCACTAATTTGGTTCGGAGATTAGTCGACATGAATAGTTTCACAACTCTGAAGTGAGTTTGTTTCTGCAAGAAAATTTCCTGACCGTACTTGATTTCGTCTATCGTAAATTTCCCAATTCTTATGTGAGCTTGGATTGTCCCGTTATTCAATTAAAAATTAAAAAACTGCCACCTCTGATGTTAGCTTGGATTAACAAATGTCGTGTTAAAACGTTAAAACCAATCTTTTGTTATTTATCAGAATTTCTGAAAATCCCAGAAGTCTCGAGCAAAATAGCGTATGCCATGAGCCGCTGGATGCAGACCGTCTTCAGATACACGTTTTTTGAAGCTGCGGTTCTTTGTTTTGAAGAATTGAACGCCCCGGTGTCTTGCTAGTCGTCTATAGTATTTGTTCGGCTTCCTCGCATTCCGATACTCTCCTTCTCCACTGTTGAGATTCATGATTGCATCATCGATCCCAAAGGCATGATAAGTCTGCACCTGGTAGCCCATTTTTTCGGTGACTTCTAATGATGACATAATTCCTTTGCGGTCTTTGTCCTATAGATTATTTGCCCCTCCCATCACTATTATTTGTTTGATATTTCGTTTCAAAATATCGCGTTGGTGCTACAAAGGGTAGATATCTGGCCTCCAGGACATGATATGGTTATTGTGTTGTCTAGAAAAACACCACACACACCAAGGACGATCGAGAGTTCTTGAAAATTAGTTTTCTTTTTGGTTTGTTGAGTTCAATGACATCACAGTTTCTTTTACAGATGGTGTTTTTGATCTCTGTAGTCCGATAAATTGGTATTTCAATAACTGAAATCATTTTAAGTAGTAAAAGTTAATAAAGTTTTCAGCAGCTTTTCGAAAACTTTGTGCTTGGCAATTTTTGAAGCGAATTGGCGTTTGGTTCCACAACTTGGGTCCTAGAAAACTGAAGCTTCTTTTTCCCTAGTCAGAGGAAACTTATGATACTACTACGTTCAAGTTACGACGGGAGTAAGCTTGTTCCGTCGATGGAACCGCGTTGCGTATATATGTCGGTACAAATTTGTGCTCAAAAAGTCTTTTTTCTGACGATTGCCAAAAGTTCATATTCGATTCTGATTTTCATAGATAACCAATGTAATTCATGTAGAAATAAAGATATGATCTAAAATTTCGAAAGTTGAAAACAATACGACATGCTGCGTTTTGGACTTTTGGCAACTTTTGTAAAAGATAATCTGGAAGGCCAGCATACATACTATTGCAGTAATCTAATCTCATTAGAAT